TTGAAGTTGTATGACTATAGTTTGGTCGCTAGAAACGTAATGTGTGTAACTGCACAACGTATGCGACGCTGTATGCGAACTTACAAATGCGCTTTTTTTATTCATTTCGAGAAGCTTCTACAATTTCTTGAAGTTTTTAACAAAACGAGTGTAGAGTAGTATCGATATCACTGCGAGCTGTCACTGTCATGAAATGCACTCTTTAGCTTCAAGGTACAATTCAAGAGATAACAATTTTTCGCAAAGACGTATCTGAAAAACCCCAAAAAAAGACTTGGAGTTTAGAGTCTGGAATGACCATGGAAGTTATAGTAGAATATTAATGCAAGGGGCAAGAGTAAACTTTATCTTGCTAGCCTTCCTTCCATGGTTGTCCGGATAGGAAAAAATAATAAGAGGAAGAACCGCCTGAGAAAACCTGCTATTCGTACAAACAATATATAGTGTGCAGTATATACCACTCTTGAAGAATCTAAAGTTGAGATGCCATCTTAGGCTGGCGCAATCATCAATCCTTGCGAGGCGGTTGCGTTGCGTGTTCGAGTCAGCAGTAGTTGTCGTGGTTCGTGATCATCATTGATGTAAACTCGTTGTATTTTGTGAAGCGAAAAGAAAGCCTTTTCCGTACTTCTTTTTTGCAATAAGCGCTTTCAAAAGGAAAATCACTCTTACCACATTAGCAAAAGGTGCAGATGATCCAATTATCGACTATACTGGATTGGAGCCGCATGTGCAGGTTGTTCCAGTCACAACTGGTCTTCACTCTCAAAGTATAAGGCATGCATTCATTGTAGAAAATTGTTTGCCGCAGCACTGTTTTGACCTCCTACCAGCTCGAATTGTTCCTTAAACATTTTCATATGATCTAGCAGCTTCGAAGTTCCTCCATTCTGGATGCGCTAGTATTCCGTTTTTTGCAGAAACAAATTCCGTCAGTAATTCGCTTCCGCAGAATGTAGGTCCTCACACGTCCTGCACTAGTAGCGCATGCGTAAGGAAAGCAGTTCGTGGGGCCTAGTGGCGGTGGATATGATTTACAGTCTGTGTCAAGCGTATTGGTTTCAAATACCGCAGGCCGAAATCAGCCAGTCGCAACGTCACATGCAGGCCACGCGGCGCGGCTAAGCGCCAGCGCTTCGCGCTTATCGATCTGGCGCTTACAAGGAAAGTGTTTTGTCGAAGTGGCCATTTCGAATGGTTTCTACATTAAGTTGATGAGCATAAAACTCTGGGTAGGGGAACGAAAGCCGCCAGTTTGAGCCGCCTTTCGCGGCTAACTGGTCCTTTCGCAACGTTGTTGCATGTCGTTCCAGGACCAGCAGTCCGCGCAGGCGACCGAAGCTGGCGGCTTTCGTTCCCCTACCCTAAAACTCTGATTCCGAATCTACCTTCCTTATCTGTGGAACGTCTGTGGACGAGGAGTCCTGAGTGTATATTGGAGGAGAAATCAAATGTGCATTTGGGATGCTCAAAACACTCGAAAAATTAGGGTGTTTTGAGCATGTGACATCATTACCACAATTTTGAAGCAGTTCCAGCAATGGCAATGCAAACAATCAAAGCAGACAGTTTGGAAGAATTCATATCTTGTCTAAATTTCGCGCATTCCAAGAGAATGTGAGTCCATTGTTTAGCTGGATGGGCAGAGGCATTCATGGGCATAATTTACAGGGCTTTACAACCTGGGTGTCACAGCCGCCCCGCTCGGCCACCACGCTTAGGTCCGCGCAGCGTTCGTGGCGCATCGTCCGGGCATTTTGCCAGTTCTCAATCGATGCCGCCGACGCATGCACCAGGCTGCGCGTCGACTGAAGCTTGGCAAAATGCCCGGGCGATGCGCCGCAAACGCCGCGCGCGGCCTGAGCGAGGCGGCCGCGTTGGAGGAGCCGCGCAAGCGGAGGCCGTGACTCATATGTTGAAAAGCCCTGTACGTTGGAAGATGTGATGCTTTTTCAACAAGGCTTGTTTTTCTTCCGATGGTGCTTATGCTTAGATCTCGACTTTATGCTTGCGCTAAAGATATCGTTGTTCAAATCCTATCGAGCGCGCTGCTACAGTTGTTAGGAATTTGATCCAAAATTTATATAGCCTGTGCCTGGTGAAGGTAAAAATGCAGACTGTGCAAATTTGATTGCCAGCGCAGTGGTTTGGCAAATCATGTAAAGGCAAATCCAGGACGAACGCAGTTGCTTACGCGAGGTAAATGCACGCTAAAAGTGCCGCGGCTCTGCATTCCCTGCGCTCGAGCGATGACAGCTGTCCGGCCTCCACATTAGCACACGCTCCGCAATGGTAAGTTGCTACTCTATACGGGAATAGCTATGGGCCGTCCGCGCTGCGCTCGGAGAGCAACGCTGTTGCGTCCATTGGAAGCAGTTCATGACTGGAAGAAACGCAGAGACAACAGGCGGCAAGAATGCACGAGCAAAGAGGAGTGACGCGCACTACACACCTCGCGCACCCCCGCGCCCTGCGCAGACGGCCTATACAGTCTGTCTCAATTGGGAACAGGCCGAACAGTTAGCTCAACTTGCGCGCTCGCATCGCTAGATGTCCACTCTGCATACAGTCTGCCCTAATCCTAACCAGGCCAAAATTGGCATGGCGGGAGTCCGCGTCGCGAGGGTTTCGCGCCACTTCTGCGGCTAGTTAGTCTGCCCTCTCCCCAATCTCTTCGCTCTCTGCGACAGCGCGCGTATGCAGCGCAAACCCCTAGCGCTGCGAGCGCGCAAATTCAGCCGATGGTTCGGCCTGATCCCGATTGGCGCAGACTGTATGCGCGCCGCCGGAGAGAGCGAGGAGATTGAAGAGAGATCAGAGAGTCGCAGACGTGGCGCAAATCTTCTCGACACCAACTCCCACCGTGCTAATCTTGTCCTGATTGGGATTGGGACAAACTGTACACCAACAAGCGCGATCGATTGTCGCATAAGACTTTTGCTGGATTTGAAGAGTATTACCAATTTCGGTAGTTTTCTATGTTTGGGTGAGTAGCCAAAACTGATGAATAAGGCAGTTCGCCAGGTTTAGTCCTTTTAGGCCCCGGACAGACTTCACGCGATTTGATCGTCGCGACTGAATCGCGACGAGACAGCTGTTACAACATCATTCCATGCCGATCAACTTGCATTTCGGTTGTGACACTTTTCCAGCCCGAATTTTTTGAATGTGAAATGAAAATGAATGGAAATGTCGGCGATTGAGTCGCGACGATCAAATCGGGTGAAGTCTGTCCGGGGCCTTAGTCGCTTCATCCATTTCAACCGCTTCGCTATCGTCCCATCCACAATCGTCGCTACCCCTGCTCTGCGCCTATACCCTCCGGCATGCACGCTAACTGTTAGCAACATGTAGCAACGTGTTTAAACATGCAACGACATACTGACGTTAAAGCTAACAGTGAAAACCTTTGCCAGCTACAGTTGATGCAATACATTGTTGCATGTTGCTAACACTAACATGTTAGCCATGCGTGCCGCAGGCCATAGACGCAGAGCAAGGGTAACAACAGCTATGGAGGGGACGATAAGCACTCCTAAACCACGCGGCCGTTTTGCCGCGAAATTTCATGTGGACGATCTGGAAAGTCTTGACATGAATACTTTCTGCGATGCTTTTGGCCCAAGAAGGGAAGGAAACCTCTCCGCGTGAAAGCTGGGAGAGGAGCAAGCTTACACTGCCTAATGAGGCGCCGCGGCAGCTTCGCAAGAACTCACGCATAGCGTGATTACCCTTCCCCCGAGTCGCGGAAGCCTATGCTCGGCCTTTGACGCCTTTAAAGACGCTGCTGTACGGACGTGTTAGGCCTCGGATATAGTTTACGCGATTTTATCGCCTCGCGATGCTTCTAACAAGACAGCTGTTACGAATACACTGCACGTCAATCACCTTGCATTTCGGTTGTGATAGTTAGTCACGATTAGTTCTGTAGGGAAACTATCACAATCGAGGTGCTAATCTATCTCATCTTGGATTATTTGCGTTTGGAAAGATGGAAATACAAGATAAATCAAACGACTGTAGAACGTTTTCAAGTCTAATATTTCAAAAAAATTTATGCATATAATCGTGGCGAGACTGTGTCTGCGTCTTCGGTCCTTTATTGGCAAAATGCCAGACCTACGCGCCCGCCGATGCGGCGCAAGCCTTCTGCGATGCAAGCGCTATTTCACATCGAATGCTCCTGCCTTTCCCATTTGAATGAAGTGTGTGGAAGTTTTTCTTGTGCAAGATAAAACCTGCGAGCCTTCTTTACTTCAAACAACAAGCTTTTCTGCCAGGTTCTAGCAACATGAGCGCACATTTGCATATCTACTAATTGCTCATACAATACCGGGTAAAGCGTAGCGTGCAAGGTCAGTCGCTGTCGCTATTAGATAGTATCAGTGCAAGAGGTGAGCTAGTGCCCGCTCTCCCCTCTTATTAGAGCGTGAATATACCAACTCCAACATAGTTCCATTAGCTTTTTTTCCTTCCGTTTAGCCTCAAATATGGCTACAGCTGATTCTGATTTCGTCCTATTCCACTTCTGCGATAGATCACTTCCTTCGCCTTTGTCATTTCAGTAAATACATGAACACATTTTTTTGGTTGTTCGCAGGGTTCGAAATGTGTTTCTTGAACCGCAGCATATCGCAATAAATGACGCAGGCGAGTTTTTAGAACGTGTGTATTTGTTTCCATTCTTCTCTTCTCAAATCGTGCATCCTGCTAATGTTCACAGTTCAAGTGCGTAGAGTTTTGCCTCATTAGTACAACGATACTGTAATAATGTTTGTGTGCGTACCCTTCTCGTCCGAGGTCACTAGATAGAGCAAATGTCTTTTGAATTTGTTGGGTTTTTCCGAAGTTTTTAATTGTTCTCTCGCAAAAGGTCTTGAATCTTTGTCGACTCGTTCACATTGTCCTCTCGTTTATTTGGTGACTGGGTGCTTTATGCTCGATATGTCTTTCGCATCTATGATGCAGCTTATTTATGGCTTTATCCAGTTTCATTTCAGTTTTCTCAGATTATCTGAGCCTTGCGCTCAGCTTTTGTTCGTCTCTTGCTCATTAGCAGACGAATCACCACGGGGATTAACTCAGAAATAGGTGAGTCAAATTTGATGAAAAATAGAGAATGTTTTTTCTTGATTTTTTTTCTTTCATCAGATAGAGTATTTGCTGTGTAGGAAAATATTGTTAGGGTGCATTTGATTATTGGATTTTGTGTCAAGTAGATACTTTTAGCAGCAGAATGGCAGCTCTAGCCTCTTTTACCCGCAATAATCGCAATTACGGTCAGCAACCGATCGATAGCGTGGTTAACCCTCAAAGGGAACGTAATGCTATGGATGCCAAAACTAGCCAGTGAGTTTGACCTTTTTCCATTCGTCGCTACATTTCGATCGTCAAAAATCTCTCGTTGCCTATTTGGAATTCTGCCGATTCGAGCGGAGTTTTTCATAATAATTTCCACATTTGATGCTAATCTCACTTGTACGTTTTCCTTTGTGCACTTTGAATGACATCTTTGTCATCTCATCATCTTGGTACAACGCAGTAATCTCGTGTAGGTGGGATTCTGTAAATCAATACAGAGCGAAACAGGAACGTAGATTCGGGGTCAGTGAGTCTTTGCAAGGTCGTTTAGATTTCCAGTAGTTTACTAGACCTTGTTTGTACAACCGCAAGTTAATGTGCGTAGTGCACCTCATTATCGCCGTGAACTACCTATAATTGTGTGACCCTTCATTCCGATGTGATTACTCTTGATGTAGAAGTAGTTCGCCTTTTATCTCGAGTAGAGATTAAATCAAAGTCGATTTTTGGTCTAATTTTTGTTCCTTAATCTCAATCTTTACGTAACATAGGATGACTTTGTTCATCTAGTTCTCATGCGTTTTCTCATCTATCTTTCTCTCTTCGTTTCATAAAGATCTATCTGGCACGGAGTTTGTATATTCATAATGTGTGAGTAGTTGACGATAGGCCGGCGCTCGAAACAGGATCCATTCATTCGGCGGCGCTCACCACCATTCGCCACAACCTCGCACGCCATTAACCAGCCACCTGGTTCCACGATTTATAAAGTTAGAATATTGCTCAGTCACTCGTAGTCGCCCTTTGGATCTTCTTTTGCGAAACTTAAACTCGGTTTATAATGTTTTTGGTGTGTGATCATCATGTTGCATTTGCGAAGTTATCTATTCTTCGGCACAATCACTCGCGAATCTAGAGAATTCACTGCAGTATATCATAATTACTTGATATGCTCAAAGATCTCTCAAAAAAGTAATCTCGTCTAGCCAATCTTTTGTTGCCTTTTGTGTGTGTTTTTTGATGCACTATGGGACGGGCTGAAAAGAATGTTGCGCAAAAACATTGCAAATTTATGTGTAACAAGATTAGTTCGCCATCTTATCAAATGTTGCATAGTCTCCTATATAAGGACCCTTCAAGAGATTCGATCTTCAAATTTAAACTTCCTGTCTTAGTTCGTTATAGCGTACTCAAATGCTGTTGGCGCAGAGGTCATTGCTTTCGGTCCTGTGTCAACAAATAAATGTGAGCATCACATCAGCAGAGTGACCGTTCAAATATTGAAAAAAGCGTTGAGTAAGCCGTCTCGCTCACATTGTTGTCATTGTCTCGTGAAAGATAGTCACACCGAACTATTCCTGTACTATAATTCGTGACGCAAGGCATATTCTATGGAGTCATAAAATCTTGACAGCTGCCCTCCATTCCACTGATTATCATCCTATTGCTTTTGATTCAGGATTTTATGCGCTTTCACGGAATGTGACTAGTCTTTTCAGATATTTCGACACTAAAAAACCCTTCATTAGCTACTTTGCTTGAAGTTAAATGAATTTTGCCGAATTTTACGCTAAAGTTGAAATTGCCGTGAACTATACCAATACGCAGATGTTGTGCTTTGTGGGATAATAATCGCTGAGTCACGATTTTTGCTGACTGAGTCAGCTTCTATTTGTACCATTCTATCACTTTCTCTATTGACTTTACACATCTCATCTCCCTTTTTGATCAATAAGAAATGTAGTGATTTCTCTCTCGCTATATCATCAACTCGAAATAGAGCTCATTTAGGCGGTCGAAACTTTCAAAACTTTCAAACTCAACTTTTTTCCGCTTTTGTCGTAAGCTAGCATGCCCAGTTGATTATGTGCTTGTATAGATCACTTTTTTCGCCAATTTATGAGTTTCTCCTCAAATTCCAGAATGCAGCACATTTTGGGAAAGAGCAATCACCTCGAATTATAAAACCCAAACCTGTTGAATTTAGACCGTGGGGTTAGCAAGGCGAAAGGAAAATGTCTTGCAACTTCCTTTTACCCCTTAATTTCCTTGTCTGTGTAACAACCGGTTTCATCCAGCTGGTATGTATTTTTCATGCTGAACGCGCCGATCGGAGAACTTCCCTTTTTCCCGTTCCCTTTCCCTTTGCCTTTGTTGTTTCCCCCTTACGACAAAGACGGCCCTCCGCTCAGTGTACATAGTCCTATTTTGGGCGTGCTTCAGGCAGTGGTCTATTTTGAGAATATCCCGGTCAATGGCCCGCCGCTATTTTCTCAATCCCTAGAGTGTGACCCGCGTAACTGGTGGAGGTGCTTCATTTTCCGCTTGTTAGTCTATATTGGTTCCACTTGGGTTTTACCGTGCTTAATCAAATCAAAGGCGGACATCTTTTGAATTCAAACATTTTGAAAAAATGTGAGCAATCAAATTTATCACTTCGCTGAGAATGTCCTTCTCTCATATCAACTTTTGGAGTTATCTGGAACCTTCTTATATTTCTTCCACTCGTCAGTCTTGCAACATGCTAGATGCGCTTGATTCGGAGCAGATTTTCTCATGAGTATTAGACAAGTACCGTCGAACTAGGTCCTCAATTACCCTGACAAGTTTTTCCGAGCGCGTGTCCTACTTACTCACTCAATGCTCGCTGTGACAGATTTGATGGGATTGAACGTTTTCAGTTTTATTTTTTGAGAAATGGAATAGCGAAAGGCGTCTCCGCAGGTTGTTGAATGAAATTGTGAACAGTGCCTTTTTATAATAAATGAGAGGTTTCAAATATCTTGTCATTGGTGCGGTTTTTACGAATTTAGCTACATCCCGAGAATGAATATGAGGTTTCAAATGTCTTGTTCGCGCTTTTTACTCCTTCAGCTGCTTTCATCTAGGCCGGAAACCATCAAGTCCGTATTCTATTACTCTCCCTTTCGGATATGATTTCTTGCATATTTAATTATCAGTAAAGGTCATCCATACCAGGTAAACGTTACTGTTCCTGACAGGTACGCTCTCACATTAAAATGCATATCTGGTGGAAGTCATCGCTTTGTTTTGGCGAGACGGCTGGGTGTGTTTGCATGGGCATTGTTGACGACACAGTCTCTGTTTTCCAAACTCGTGAGTGGAGCTACGATTCGATAATACTTCACATTTTACCGCGAATCCTCATTCACTCCCCGTGAAGTTTCATATTCGTGTCAAGTGAAGAGTGCCAGCGAGCGTTGAATTATTCGCTACTCTTTGCTCTCGCAGTTGAAATACACGTTTTGTTCATTCGATTCAAAAAAATACGTCCCTTTTTGCTGATATTTTGGTTTTTCTACCTACAATTTTTCTTGAAATTGAAATTATTTGAAAATCAGATGCCTTCCATGCGCCTAACAACTTTTCAGTCAAATGAGTTACGTGCTCTTTCTCCTTTCCTCCCACCAAACAGCTTGTGCCTGGAAATTCGCATCCGCATTTTTCGCATTTGGGTGATTGTTACTGCGAAACGCACAAGAACTAGTAAACTTTTTGGAAAATTTTTCTCTTACACATTATCCCGCAGCAGTTTTGAGGGCTCACTTGCAGATCTGTCCATTCTCTACGGCTCAATACTTGACTCTTGGCCTAGCGGCTATCTTACAGCGTTTCTTGTATCCTACTACTCTCGCTGTGACAATCTGTTCCACTGATTGCGTCGAAATCTGGCACCTGCGTCCCTTAAACTGTGATGGATTGAGGTTAAATTGCAGGCTCTATTGCCTTCATCCAGTTTCGAGTAGAAAAACATGGCTGACCTCTTTTCGAAGCTTTTTATGTAGTGATTCACTATGCTCTCCGGTTCCACGTCTTTGATTTCATTGCGCCTTTCTTCCGATATTAGTAAGTGACCTGACTATAGTGGAGAAATAGTGCACCGTGGGAATGAGTAGTGCGAGATTCATATAGAATTTCTTCAAATATTGGACGGTGATCGCTGAGGTGTCACAAATAAACACTGTGACTTGTGCAGAGTAAAGTGAACTGGCCTCATAAAAGTTGTTTGTGTTACCCCGATCCTTTTGCATGTTTTGTGAGTTAATAGAGGTCTGTTTGCCTGTCATAAAAGTTGATACCGATTACTTTTAGTGTTTTAATGGCTGTTATGTAGTTGTTGATATGTTTTCCATCTAAGTTTTTGAGATATAAAATTTCCTCTTAGGCTCGCATGAGGGATCTGAGGAAATGAGAGCTGAATGATTGGTTAGGATAATTATTTTTCCCCAGCTATGCTGACTTTGAGATACGACTCGTTGCTTCATGTCACACATATCTTATCGAGGACGGCTGAATCACTTGCGGTTTTTGTTGTTCGCGCCCTGCTCTTCGCCGTTTAGCATCTGAATACGATGGCTGCAAAATTAATCTCATATTAGCCTTTCCGTCGGATTTCTCTCTTGTACAGTATCTGAACTTCATCTTTTCAAGCCGGATGTGGGATCAATGTTGAAAGATGGAGGCTTAGCTTTGCTAATCATACATATGACGTTTATCTATACGTTCGCGTTCGGCAAAACGAGCTTGGAAGGTCCACAAGCACTGACGAATGTTTGAACGTCCACTGAAAATAGATGCAGCTTGTGTGCACAGGGATGTTTCCAAATTTGCGCCGACTCAGCCAATTTTAGGCCGCAGTGGCCGTTTTGGTCAAGCATTCGTACCTTATAGTATAGTAGGCTTATAGTAGGCTTATAGTAGGCTTTACAGTTGTCGGTCAACGGAATCCGTCCCAGAGTTGAGATTTGCTTATGATAGGTAGATATCTTGCTTTAGTTAGATACCATATTGCGCTCAAAGAACGGAAATGCGTTTTGAAAAAGAGCTTTCGATTAGATAGGGTAGGAGAAATGAGCAAAGTTGGCTTCTGTGATTTTTTGCGCAAGTTTCTTCCTTCTTTGGAGAAGGCCAGTTCACCTTTGATATTCGTAGAATTTTCGCTGTATCTTGACTCTCGTCTTTCAGTTCCTATACTTGCCCCACATTTTTGAGCAGGAAGATTAGTTTACGAAATATATCGTGAATCT